AGACAAGAACCCACCCAGAAACTCTCAGTGCTTCGGTTTACATAAGAAAGAATTATCAGAATAACCTTGCCTACTTGCGTTTTGGTAACATTGGCCACGCCCATTTCGTTTTCAGACAGACCTCGGATTTTTCTTAATTTCAGTCATTTTTTTTTTATAATATGGTTAAAAATACACCTATTTTTCTCTCCAGCGCATTTTTTGCCCTGAACGGTTGCGATGCTGTGTGCTTGGGAAGTCAGGCGATAGGTCATCAGGCGCAGATCTAGGATAAATGGTGACTGATTTCCGAAATAACGAGTGTCTTCTAGAGGGGTCCAGGGCCGTGCTCCCTTAAGAAAGTTCTGGAATTTTTTATTAATTAAGTCCCCTTTTGGGGGTTCTTGAGTAATTCTAAAATATCTGGCCGATTTTCGAAAACGGTGGAAACCGGTATGGATCCGCGCCTGGTCATTCAACATTTTGACCGGAAAGAGACTGGGGCTGGCAATCCCGTCTTGTCACAAGACATCCTTGTGGAACGGAAACGATGGCTTGCGCTTTAAACTTTGCACTGCTTGTTTTAGCTTTCGTTTCCTTGGCTGGGGCTACTGTTCCCTACGAGACTGCTTATTTTGAGCAGAACCTCGACCATTTCAACTTCGTTCAAGTTAAAACTTTCAAACAACGTNACCATTTCAACTTCGTTCAAGATAAAACTTTCAAACAACGTTACATTTATACAGGTAAGTCAGCTTGCATCTACTGCTTTCAAGCTCTGTTGAAGCAGCACCTTCTTTTTTTTCTTTTCAAAAATTATTTCTCGTCGAACACTCCCGCCTCCTCCTCAATCGATCTCAAACCAACTGCAGCCACTTTTGACATTTTTCGTTTCATATGGCGAGCTCAACTGGTCTGGGTGAGTATCAAATGAACCGTGGACGTTCAGGGGACTTCGTTTGTTCTCTCTTAAACTCACCCATATGCAGCTTCACGGCGGCACTCCTATATTAAAAGGACGTGGGTGCTTGTCGTACCCTTTAGGGGTTAAAAACGCAGTTTTGGTGCCTCTTAGGGTGTTCAGCCTCAAAAGATTCACAGCATGAGCTTTTGTGTTACCCTTCAGGGTATTGGACTGAAAAGATACGACAGGAGATAGTGTCCTGTTTTTAATTTGTATCTCTTAGGGGTAAAAAAAAAAAACATTTCAAGCCACACCCACAAAAATTGATCTTGTTACCTCTTAGGGATTCATTTGAAAATTTCTGACGAGCAGCGCTGTCCATTTGATATTTGAGTCCTCCCAAAGCCCCACCTGTGAGAGAGCAATAAGATATGCCAAAAGTTATATGCTTCGGGAGATACCCACAGCAATTTTCTCTAGAGGGCTTAGTTTTGGCCACTGCTAAAATTGTGTAATGTAGGAGATTTATGACAGAATACCTGCCGGAGCCCCAGTAGGTGCCAAGTGTCATTGAAAGCACTGCCTGTCTGCTCTGTGGAATTAGTATTCTTTTCAAATTGTACTTGCCATACCACGGTTGAGTCAGGGATCAAATTTAAATATAAGGAGATTCAAATTTACCATCTTGAGACAATTAATTTGTCTAGACATGAATTACGTATTTAGACAAATTTTGGGGCAAAATTTATATTAATTTATCTTCAGCTGATTCATATTTGTGAGCGCAAG